GGGACAAAATGGAGGTCACCATGAGGGGAATCATACATTTTAGGGTGAAGACTTAGGGTTAGGGTAACGGCCCGTCCACACAGTGGCGTGCGTTGTCGCTTGCCGGCGTGGGGGGATGAAACTCGACCAACAACCAATCACATGAATCTCCCGCCCCTGACACACAAGCACGCGGTTTGATTGGCTAGAGCTTGCACTGGCATATGATTCGATTGACTGACGCTTCCGCCGAAGCTTCAAAAGTTGAACATTGCTCAACTTTCGTCGCGAGCAAATCTACGCTTCGCTCCAACAATGCAGTTCGGCGAAACGTGACGTCACCCCATTCAAAGTGAATGGGCCGCTGTGTGGACGGGCCGTAAGGGTTAGGGTTAAGTTTAGGATAAGTCTCCAGGAAATGCATGTAAGTCAATGTAATGTCCCCTGAAGTGATGTATACATGGTGTGTGTGTGTGTGTGTGTGGTGTGTGTGTGTGTGTGTGTGTGTGTGTGTGTGTGTGTGTGTGTGTGTGTGTGTGTGTGTGTGTGTGTGTGTGAGAGAGAGAGAGAGAGAGAGAGGTGTGTGTGTGTGTGGTGTGTGTGTGTGTGTGTGTGTGTGTGTGTGTGTGTGTGTGTGTGTGTGTGTGTGTGTGTCTTATCCTCTGCGAAGCGCCCTCAGCTCTGCAGCCACTTTGCGCAGCTCTGCTTCGATCTCCAGCAGCTCCTGTGTGTAGAAAATAAAATGTAGAAAACATGACACAACAATAATGTTTAAATAAAAGCACAACATGGTTTAAAAACAATTCAAAATGTACAACGAATACATTAAATGTCGTCCTCCTTACCTCTCCTTCATCTTCTTCAGCGTCCCCTTCCTCATTGTCTTCCTCCTCCTGCCCCTCCTCATCCTCCCTAACATATTCCTCCTCATCTCCTCCCTCCTCATCTCCTCCCTCCTCTTCCTCTGCGTCCTTGTTCCTCTCCCTTTCAAACTGCTTGGTGGCTTCATCGCTGGCTTTCTCCATCACCCTCTTCTGCTGCGGCTCCTTCACCTCCCCTTCCTCCTCCTTCTCCTTCACTTCGTTCTCCACTTTCTCCCCGGTCTCCTTGTCATCTCCTCCCTCCTTCTTCTGATCCACGCCTCCTCCATCCTCTTTCTTCTCCTCCTCCTCTTCCTCCTGAACTCGTTTCATCTTCCTCACCAGCTCG